AAATAATATATGCTAAGGATTTTGGTGTAATGAAACCCTGAAATATAGACCTTAAAAGATGCAGTTAATTAATGTAGGTAAAGGTTTCCCTTGCTCGAAAGCCAGTCGAATCTGACTCTAGGGTTGCGGTGCTCATCTCCGTTTCCAAGCCGAAGAGCCAGCGCTGTCCGAAGACATTTCCATGGTCATGTGGCCGGCATGACTAAACACCAAGGCGCACGGAACGCTGTTATCTTCCCACTGAAGTGGTACCTATTTATCTACTTGCAATTTCTTGCTTTCAAACTGCTAGGTTGGCAGGAGCTGGAACTAGAGACGGGAGCTCACTCCGTCATGTGGCATACTAGGGGCTTGAACTGCTGAACTACCGACCTTCCACAGCCTGCAGTTCAGCGTCTTAACCACTTGAGCCACCGCAGCTCCTAGTAATTAATGTAACATTACATTATATGCTGTACCACACTGGCTTTCATATGGTGGCTGCTCTTGAACTGAAGTCTCTCTCTCTTTTTTATCAGCACAGAGGGATGGAATATTGGGGAACTTCTTGCCAGCTGCATAACTCCTAGCTGAGCTTCTGCCTCCTTTCAGCTTATTGGCACAGTAGTCAACATGGCTAGAGTCACAAGCTCTTGGCTGTGAGCTGAAGGCATATGGCTCACAGCCTGGGGCCAGTGAATGAGGACATAACCAGGGTGCACGTGTGTGTCTTCTTCGAGGTCTTGCCTTAAATTATATTGTCCAGTTTGGTTTGGAAATTCCTGGTAGAAAAGCAGCACAGAAATGTCTTAAATAATAAAACCATGGTCCCATTGTGTCTAAACAGATCTTCACATTTTGACTATTTTGCCAGGTTGTATGGAATTCCATTCTATGGTTTGCTCATGCCAGTTACATGCAAACCCAAGGCCTGTTCATATCTTACCAAACCATGGTTTGTGATTACATCTGAACCTACACAGTGTGTCTTAAATGCCAAGAGATGGCTGTTGGACCTCTTGTTCAGCCTCTAGTTTCCCATCTGCAAGGAGTGTTCCAAATATTTCAGTGCATATTTATAGGGGGGGGGTTGTTCTGTTTAAACATTCAGGTGAACCTTACAAATACTTTTATTCAGTTTCAGGTACAAGACTCCATATCCCATGCCCTTGTGTTGCTGGGTAAATGTAGCACATTAAGGAACTCCACAACATCCTTGCTTTTCAGAGAAGTCAGTCTGTTTGCACATGAGTTGCAGCATACCAATGAGGTAAAGCTGTGTGTGAGATTTTATGCTGTCATGATCTAGGTGCATGTTTGAGCTGGTGAAGTATTTAATCTAAGCAATTGTAAGACGATGTTCTCTCATCTGTGTTTTTCCTTTCTTTCTAGGTTCAAGCCAACTATGTTATTCAGTATGAAAATATTTTCTTTCTGTGTAGAATTTTGGAACAGCTTCTTGAAAGAGGGACCAGACAAGAAGATGCTGCTAGTTCCATCTGTGATGAAGAAGAGAAGAAGAGGTTTCTGCAGAACCTTGATCAAGCTATTTTTCATCTCTCAGATGAGTTCCCCTTGTTTTGTATTTATTTATGGCGAATAGGTACTCTTTTGAATGCAACAGGAATACAAACTGCTGGTGGGGGAAAATGGCCTGCTTCAGAGTAATAAATGATTGCAAATAAATCAGAGCAGAGAGAAAGAGCCAAGACTGAGCCATGTTCACACGGAAAGGGAGTATCACAATGAGTGTTGAATACTATTGCAATAGTGATTATGCAATTTCCTCTTCTGGTATCAAACCACTGCTTGAGAAGGTATAAGCAATTTCATGGTGACACTTGTCAGGAGTATGTTTGCATGGCAGGACCCCGAGTTAAGAGTTTTGTTGTATTTTTTTTTAATTTGATATTTGAAATAAACAAAATTATCTCTGGCATTAAAAATTAAAACGCCTATTAAGCTATAATGTACACAAAATTGCACAAAATTAGGATTTAAACTGTGAAAAGTTTTGCGCATTAGGCTGACCCAGCCAAGCCATTTAGTATGCAGTTAGTTTTTAATTTTTCTCTTGGTTATTTTGAGTGTGTTGGTTTTTCACACTGAAGTACCCAACCTTTTTCAGGAAAACAGATCTAAACAGTTTGCAACTAGAAAATTCTCAGCATCTATTACATTAGATATACGTTAAAGGGGACTGTTTGTTAAAGAAACTATAGCTTGTCAAACGGACAATATTTCTTCTGACTTACTTAAAAACTACAATCCTGGATGGAAAGGCACCCAAATATGTCCTCTTGACACCTGTGGGAGTCAGAAATACATAAATACATTGTTGTCCAAGAGCCCGTGTTTTCTGTTAACACTAGCATCTGACTGATGTGATATATCTTCAGTCTTTTTGCTGGATATAGGAGTTGTAATTCCTTACTCTCCCATACATCCACTTGAACCATGCTAATGACACTGTGAAACAAAGATTTTGATTCAACGTTGGTTTCCCCCATAGTGAGTCTGCCCATCCCCCTTTAGAGTTGCTGTTCTGCTGCATAGTGATATTTCTTCCAATGGGATAGATCCAACCATTCTCCAAGGAGCCTTCCTCCAGTGTGAGAAAGACAACAGATTTTCCTTCAGTTTTGGTATATTAAAGTTATATCTGGTATGTAGCATTGATGAAATATGCAATACCCAAAACTTATTAATAATGAAAATACTGTAGAAAATGCCCTAAAAGATTTAATGAAGGAGATGTCAGGGAAAGGTATTTTTTCTTTAATGTATTTTGTAAGTATAATCATCCTTGATAAAGATAACATATTGTTCTATAATCCCTACATTTTTTTCTTTTTCTGTACCCCTTTTACAATTCAGTTTTTAAAATAAACATATTAATTAAAAAAAGAAACTCTGCAAGATCTATGAACAAGATTATGACTGCAAAGTGTGGGAGTTCCTATCATGGAGAAACGTTCACAACCAAAAACACAAGCCTCTCCTAATCTAGATTTCAACATATTCCTTTGTTAATTCACACAGAAATTAGAAAGGCACTTCACCTGTCCCCCCCCCAATTGAATTGTCAAATCCACATTTTAAAACTATATTGACAGCACTAAAAAAGTAGAATTAAAATGAAGCCAGACACATTGAAAATCGCACACTAAAAAGAAGTTTACTAGAAGAAAATAGGGAAAACTACTTCATTGGAAGATTTTGCTTAGCATCTGAGTGAGAGTATAAACATATCTCTGTATATAAGTGACCAGAGAATGGAAATAGACGGGTCTGGGTAAAAGTCGGATCTAAATGGATTCTCATGAATTTCATATGATTTTTACATTGAAACGAAATAAAACCACCATCATATTGTAGGCCATGTGTTAGTCTACAAGGGGCACCACAAAAATCACGCACCCACAGATTCGTGGCACCACAGCAGCACAAAAACATGATTCCAAAGGACGGATCCTCATGAATTCATATGTTTCTACGCTGGAATGAAATAAAACCTACATCATACTGTAGAACATGTCTTAGACTATAGGCAGCACTCCAAAAATCATGCCCCCATAAATTCGTGGCACCACAAAACTGCAAAAACATGGTTCCAAAGCACAGATCCTCATGGATCCTCAGGGTTTTTCAATTGGGTCACCCGAAACACACCATCAAATCATATAACATGTCCACGGCCACAGCTTGCACCACAAAAATCACAGATCCACGGCTTTGTGGTGACACCATTCTGTAAAAACATGATTCTGAAGCAGGGATCCTCATGGATGCTTGGGTTTTTTGTGTTAGGACATCCCAAACATACCATTAAATCTCATATCATGTCCATGGCCACAGCCTGCACCACAGAAATCACGGTGCCACGGCTCTGGCAACACCATTGCAGCTGGCGGCCATAACTTTTTAAAGAGCCCCCAAGGAGAGCTGAGGGAGCCAGAATGACCTCTCGCCTGTGATGTCTGTTATCAGAACTACGGCTTACCCAAGGTCATCCAGCCAAGTGCCAGTGGAGGAGTGGGGAATCAAACCCGGTTCTCCCAGATTAGAGTCCACGCACACTCAACCACTACACCAAACTGCAAGCGTGTGTAGAGTCCTCTTTTCTCAGCCATCAAGTCAATCCCATCTTCATTTCACACACGTCAAAAATTAGGAGGGGAAAGTCTACCAGGCAGACTTCAGTCCAAAGAACTCTCGTTTCCGAAATTAAATAATGATTCCCCCCACACACACTCTTTGCAAATAGCCAGGCGAACAAATGCACTCTCACAATGGTCGAATCTGCACTTGCATTTTTAAATCCGTTTCATGCTGCTGTGACACCGTCTTTCTCTAACGCTTCTTTGATTGTATGGAGAAGACTCTTTTAAAGCAGTGCGGAGGTGCAGCGACAGTGGAGCCGCCCGGAAAGGACGATAAACATATGTGGACGCGCAAAAGTATGCTAGCACGCTTGAGGTGTGAAAAGGACACCAAATGTAGACAGCTTTTTTTTTGAAGACGGGAGTCAAAAGGCTGGGACACCGGTGGGAACGACAAATGCAGATTCGACCAACGTCTTCTCTTCCTGCCATCAGGGTCTTGTGCGAAGTCGCTACACGTGGCGCTCCCCCACCGTGCAGTCGGAGGAGTCGGTCGGGGAATCCTCCCCCGGTTGGGTGCACTGCCAGCACCGCGCAGAGGTAGCCCCAGTTGGGTGCACTGCCACCACCGCGCAGAGGTAGCCCCGAAAGGCAGCAGAGCCACCACCTAGGAGGTGGTGGCTCTGCTGCCTTTCGCGGCTACCTCTGCGCGGTGGTGGCAGTGCACCCAACCGGGGGAGGATTCTATATGGAGGTGGTGGCAGAGCCGGTGCCAGAAACCGCTCCCGATCCCCGCCTTCACCTGCTTCCCGCCTGCCCTCCTCTTCCTTTCACTCCCCTCCACGGGGCGGTCTCGATGTCTCCGCCCCACCCACCTTCGCCCGCTCGCTGGCTGCAGGAGTCCTTCCGGCGGCTTTTTGCTGGGCTGCGTTGCGATTGCAGCGGCGGAGCTGTGCCGTGGTCGGGCTCGAGCGCAGCAGCAGCGGGCTCTGTGAGTAGTACCCTGCAACCGAGGGAGCGCCCTCTCCACCCCGCGCGTAGCCTCTGGCTCCCACTCCTGTAAGGCTTCCGCCAGCAGGAGTCAGCTTCTTAAAGCGGCGGGGTCTCCCCTTTCGGAACGCATGAAACGTGGGGACAGCAGGCTTAGGTGCAAATACCGCTCAGTTATCTATCCAGTCGCGCTACATGTCTGCAGAGGACTCAGGGAGAAGTCGTTTCCCTTTCGCTTCTGTCGCTAACGCAGCTGCCACCATATGAGGCGCCTGGTACCAATGTTCCCTCTAAGCTGAGTGAGTGTGAGCTAGCTCACAGTTTTTTTAACCTCCGGCTCATACTTTTTTGCCTTAGCTCAGGAAGGGATGGCTCCAGAGCAAACTAATTGATGCAGCAGCCAAATCGCTCGCTCACAACTTTAATGCCAGGAGCGCACAAGGTAGAATTTTTGCTCACAGGACTCCACAGCTTAGAGGGAGCATTGCCCGGTACCCGTTTAGAGGTGGTCCTCCGTGTATGCAGCAGCCTTGCCTCGCTGAGGGGAGGGGTACAATGGGATGCTAAAATGGGTGCAGGTATGCCCAGAGCCCTGGCGGTGGGAAGCGGCTTGCTCCCGACACATTTCTGAACTGTGCTTCTATAATCTCTGGGCTCCTCGCCCCAGAATATACTGTTCTGCATTTCCTTCCCTCCTAAATCGATCCACTGCAGTGATCCTGAGCGAGGGGGGAGAGTATTTTTAAAAAGCACCCTTAAGGACAGATGTTCAGAGCACCCATAAATCATCCTCTCCTTTCCACCCTCCTCCGATTTTGCAGTAAGTTAACAACATAAGAGGAGATCCTTGGGATGGGGACATCCATGAAGGGATACAGAATCGAGGCATGCAGATTTTAATCATTATCAACCCGGGGTCACCATAGATCTCTCAGGGTGTCACAGTCACCTTTGGAAACACCAGCAAGGGCCGGAAAGCAAGTGCGCTCTAGGAAGAAAGGGAAGCAGATAAGATAACTTGAGAACCAGGCATTGCAGAGCTGTGGAAAGGTCTGGAGATGGCTGCCGTGCTGGCGGCAGCTGTTCTAAAACATCTGGAGGCGACTTCAGCATGGGAATGATGAAATCCTCCTGTAATTTACACACCAAAGATGGCTGCCTGGTGAAGAGGCTGCCTCAGCAGTAGGCACGATCCACCGGCTGTAGTTTTTGTTGCTAGGTTACATGAGGACTTATTTCCCCCCTTACAGAAATGCATCTTGCAATGTTGATTATTTCAGATTCCCCTCCTCCCCATGTATTTCTTTATTGATGCTTCCCCCCCCCCCACTCCTAACGCACTGAGAGAAAGTGAATATTGCAGGCAGAGCCACTGATGCACACGAAATGCCAGTGCAGCTGAAATTCAGATAAAAGAAAATTGACAGCTCTTCTCTTTTGTTTGATTAATGCATTGAAATCAGTCCTACCTCACAATCATTGGCCTCTGCTGCCTGACTTTCTCAGACTGGGGCCGGGGGGGGCAGGGAGAGGCTAAGTGACACAAATGAAGTCTGAAATGAATAGCGTCAGAGTCTGGAATGTTAGCTGCTTTCGAAACTGCCATAAGTGGAGTGTCAGTCGCCACAAGAGCCTATGAAAATCATACAGAGGATATTGATCCTGATGTTTTCAGCTGTCTCTCCTGCAAAATCCATCGCACTGCTCAGTTGTGTTTGTGATGGGTTGCCAGAACAGCACATAATATCTAAAGCATGCATGCACCATTTGTGTACCTATGTTGTCACTGGAATTCCTCCTTTTAATACTTTCCCCTAAAACTTACCCATATTCAGGGCTATTTTTGGGCAGGAACGCACAGGAACGGAGTTCCGGCTCGCTCCTGAGGTGGCCACGCCCAGCAGGAACTCATTAGCATAATAGGCCACACCCAACAACAGAAACGCATTAGGATTGGCTACATTAGGGGTGTGTGGCTTAACATGCAAAGGAGTTCCTGCTACAAAAAAAGGCCCTGGGTTTTGACAACAAACAAGGTCAACAGAATAAGAAGCAAAAGGTGGTTGTGGCTGGATAACCACACTTCTGGTAACATGTGGGTGCGGCCTAATGTGCTAATGAGCTGTGCTGTCAGGGGTGTGGCCCAATATGCTAATGAGTTCCTGCTGTTGGGTGTGGCCTATTATGCTAATGAGTTCCTGCTGGGCTTTTTCTACAAAAAGAGCCCTTCTATTCTTCTTGTGGCTTCACAAACTTTCCAAGATTTGAGGCTGAGCTCAAAAGATTTCTGAGGATCATTATGTCCCATTTCCCAAAAGGTCACGTCAGGATAAACTAGTACTATTACTGGCAGATAGGGACAAATTCACTTCTTTCTGAATTGCAGTGTTTGTGGCCACTGTCATAAAGATAAAGACGAGGATGAGGCTTGCTGGTGTAAACACAGTTGATCCCCAGACCAGTTGCTGCATTCTGGGTCATTAGCCATTGGACTCTAGGGTATATTAACATGGCTTTATTTTGAGATGTTTTAAAACATGTATAGGTATTTTAATTTCTTTTATAAATATGTGTGATTTCTTTTTCTTACTTTGATGGAATCATGTTATTGCTGTGCTTTATTCACTGTGATGGCTCAAGTGGTTAAGACGCTGAACTGCAGGCTGTGGAAGGTCGGTAGTTCAGCAGTTCGAGACCCGAGTGTGCCGCATGACGGAGTGAGCTCCCCTCTCTGGCCCCAGCTCCTGCCAACCTAGCAGTTCGAAAGCAAGAAATTGCAAGTAGTTAAATAGGTACCACTTCGGTGGGAAGGTAATAGCGTCCCATGCGCCTTGGCCGACCACATGACCACGGAAATGTCTTCAGACAGCACTGGCTCTTTGGCTTGGAAACGGAGATGAGCACCGCACCCTTAGAGTCGGATTCGACTCGCTTTCGAGCAAGGGAAGCCTTTTACTATTCACTGGTGCAGTAAAGACTGACTGGCTGGCTTATGCTGAAACAAAACTTAGTCATTAAGGTGCGACAACAATCCTGTTTATTATTACTGTAACGGACTACTAACAGAATTATTATATTGTCTCCATAATCCTTACAGTTCTGTGGAATGAGAAGAGCACTGAATATTTCAAATAGCTAGATATATGACAAGCAGGCACCCACAATTTCCCCCTCCCCCACTATTACTTCCCTGAAAGTGTCCATAGCCTCTCCCCTTTTCCTGTTCTTTCTCTTCTTCCCATAGAACAGCCAACCTACCATTATCTGAAGAAGAAGAAGAGATTGGATTTATACCCCGCCCTTCACTTGGAGGTCTCAGAGCGGCTTACAAACTCCTTTCCCTTCCCCTCCCCACAACAGACACCCTGTGAGGTGGGTGGGGCTGAGAGAACTCTGACACAAACTGCTCTTTTTCAAGGACAGCTGTGCCAGAGCTTGTGACTGACCCAAGGTCACATCAGCAGGTGCAAGTGGAGGAGTGGGGAATCAAACCCGCTTCTCCCAGATTAGAGTCCGCACACTTAACCACTACACCAAACTGTCTTCAGTTCCCCCTTGCTCCCCTGGCAGTCTCTGCATAGGAAAACTATGGCAAAGAAAACAAAGCATTTAGAAGTATTAAATAAATATTATTTCACCTTGCATCTGTTTTTCTACATTTTTTCTAGGAAAACTGTGGCACAGTTGTGTGGTGCTGGCTGTTGGGCCAGGGCCACTTGCATGGTAGGGAACCCTCAAGGCCTTGTAGAGGCACGTCACTTTCTCTGGTATCCCCATTATTTCCCTTCTTCCTCCTGGCAGCTGCCATATCCTCTCCCCTTTCCCTGCCTCATTCTCTCCTCAGCCATTCACGAACCTACCTTTTATTTGCCTCCCATCTTCAGCCACATTTATAATTTGTGTATTTCATTTATACCTCACCTTTCTCCACAGTGGGGACCAAAGCAGCTTACACCCTCCTCCTTTACTCCTTTTCCCCCTCAAAACAACCCTGTGAGGTAGGTTAGGTTGAAATTATGTGACTGGCCCAACATCACCTCATGAACTTCCATTGCAAACTAGTGATTTTAACCTGGTCTCCTAGACCCTACTCTGAGGCTGTAACTGCTACATCACACTGCCTTTCATAGGGTGGCTGCTGTTGAACAGGAGCAAGCAGCTAGGCTTAGCCTGGTGGTATCAAGTCACTCAGTGGTTGCTGCCAGGCCTGGTGCCAATAAGGCGAAAAACAGGCCTGGAAATGACCCTGCCACCATCCTTGCCTTTTACTGACAGAAAGTAAGCCTAGAATGCTGTAGTTGCCTAACAACAGCAATTGAAGGATTCCGTTTCTTAAAGCTACAGGCACCACTATTATCAATTGGTTTTAAAAACACACACACACACACACCTCTTTTGTAAAAGATTTTATATTTTTCTGCAAAGTTAATGCATGTTTCAGGTTTGCAGAAAGATCTTTCTTGTCAGTTCTGTTGGGGGAAAATAGTCAAAAATACTTAAATACTCAAAGTTTGCAATGGATCTTTGCTTCACTGGAGAGAAGACATTTCTGTTTAAAAAGCTTTATTTCTAAGGGGTAGAGTACATGAGGATAACTGCAAAATAAGAAAGATATCCAGAGCTACATTTTTACACGCTTACAGCTACAAACACATGGTCACACAACAACACAACAATGGAGAGTCCTCCTTCTTCTTGACCCCTAGAAGGAAATCACCTGAATACATCAACCAATTAAACATTTACAAAACAGACCAGTTTTTCTGGGGATTCGCTAGCATTGGCTGTCTTCCAGGTTTCCTTCCAGGTCACTCTAAACAATAGCACACAAGGTGAACATATTAACCCTATAATGACTGGAATCTGAGACCTTGCAAGTCATACATTTCCAACAAGTTCATGGTGCCAGTCACTGGATTTAAGAATCCTAAAATTTGGCTGACTTGGTTATTAGTGATGACCCATAAGAAACTCAGGGGAAAATTCCACAGCTGGAAACTG